TTTAAAAGGGGCTTGGGTTTAGATTAGTAGTAGGGTGTTTGCCTAGCATGTGTGATGCTCTGGGTTCAATCCCCATTACTGGGTGGGGGGAGATAAAGCAGAAAGAAAGAAAGAAAAAACGCAAGAAAGGAAGGAAGGAAGAAAGAAAGAGAGAGAGAGAAAGAAAGAAAGGAAGGAAGGAAGGAAGGAAGGAAGGAAGGAAGGAGGGAAGGAAGGAGGGAGGGAGGTTTGCTTTTTGGAATGCATGTAGCATGTACAGCAGGAGAGCAGCCCAAGCTTCCTAGGGGGCAGGCCTGGTCCTGCAGGAGAGAGGCAGGGTTTTGTCCCACTCAGAAAGCTGTGAGCTCTGGGTGGGACAACATGGCCAAAGCAGGAGATCCTGGGGTGCATAGGCTGGTCCACGCAAAATGGTGGCTGCTGGGTACTGCGGGCAACAGTTATCAGGAGATCTGACCTCCCATGACATTTACCCGCTTATGTAACTGCTTTATATGAAATCAGAGGTCAGATGTTGTTACGGTTTGTGTCTGGATGTCCCCCCGAGCCTCATGTGGTCATGGGCTATTTTGGAGGTGGCCGGATCTAGAGTGTGTGATTGACTCACGGTGGGCTGAGGCCCAAGGGCACTAGGGTTAAGCGAGTGAGTGCTAAGTAGTCTGAAAAAGACAAAAGGGGCAGAAAGATCCTCTTAAGGTCTCTTGTTGCTTTGAATACCTTCTGGCTGCCACGAACTGCTGTTTCTCCTCCTCAAGGCTTGTCATGGCACCCTGCCTTGGAGCCAGCTAATTATGGACTGAAACCTCTATGAACTGTAAGTCAAATAAAACCCTTCCCCTCTAACTTTGGGCGTCAGTTATTTTGTCTCAGTAACTAGAGAAAAGTAACCAACACAGTTGTCCTTCTGCCTCTGTTTGGGCCTCATTGGGAGCCTCTTCCTTCTGGATCCAAGACAGCCAGAGCTCATGAGTGGTCCACTCCTTCTGTGGTCACAGGACCCATCTCGGGTCCCATGGCCATGCTGACCAATCCCTTGGGCTGAGGGACCGGGGATGCTCACTGGCTCTGGCCAAGTCACAGAATGCAGAGGATGGAGTCAGCTTCCTTGAATTCCCTTGACTTTCCAGAAATGTGGAGTCCAGCTCTTCTCCTCTGAGGTGGTGTCCTATGGCCACGGCCTCATGTTGTCCTGCCCTGGTGGTCAGAGAGGGCTGCATCCAGCTTGCGACCCGAAAGTGTCAGCCTAGGACCAGCATGGGGCGTGCATTGGTAAGGGGGCAGGCGAGACACCGAGGGAGCAAGGACAGCAGAGAGTTTGGGCATCATCCTCCGGCCCCTCTGGGAATGCATACACTCAGGGCTCAACGGAAAAGAGGTGGCCATGGCTGCTGTGGCTGAGATGCAGCTTCTGGAGGATTGCAGAAGCCTTGGCCAAAGACTCTACCTGAGAGCAGGCACTGAGCCCAGAAACCCACAACAGAGGGGCCAGGGAGGCCTGACTTTATTGGATGGAATGTGCTGAATGTAGAGTGGGGCCCAGGCTTCTGCTGACCTTGTTGTCTCCCTCCTTGGCCCACCCAGACCTCTAGCCCCAGCTTCATTCAACACCCCTGGAACTCAGGGAGGAGCCCTGGCCTTGGAGGAGGAGACTGTGCCCTCAGTGGACTCCTTCTCCCCTGAGTTTTCTCCCCCCATGAATGGAGTAGGAGCCCTCTATCTAGATTGATGGAGGACCTCATGAGAGGTGTTGGGGCAGGGAATAGCTGATTGCCGTGGGAACATGGAGCTCAGGGACAGAGGAAACGCTGAGAAGGGTAGATGGCTGGACTCCATCTGCCCTGTGCCAGGTGCTGCCTGCATAGGCAGCTGCCCCCACCCATTGGGAGCCTGCAAGGAGGTGTCTGGAGGGGGCACTCTAGAGGATCAGGCTGTGGGGTCACCATGCAGCCACCTGATATCCCCGAAAGGACCACTAGTCTGCAGAGATGTAAGTGGTCTCACTCACCTCCTTGGACACTCAGCACCAGCCTCGGCTACTCAGATAGGCACGGGTTCCTGGAGGTGAGAGAGGGTCCGTGGACCCTACTGGTTACCACAGGGTAAAGGCCAGGGCACTCCAAGGCACAGGCTTTGGAGCTGATCCTCCTGTCTCCATGGGGAGAATATGACCCTCCCAGATCTGAATTCCCCTCTGCCCTCCTGTGGGCGTGGTTGCCTGGCCAGCCTCAGGTACCTGTCTTCATGGTGGAGCTGGACACCTGAGGAGGAGCTGTCTCTGGTGTCCTTGGGACCCACTGACCATGGGTGAGGGAGGAGAATGCCAGGCTTCTTCAACTTCATTTTCTATCTGTACAATGAGGATTCCAGGCCCCAAGTGCTTGAGGCCACGTGGCAGGACAGGAATGACCCTAAGACTTTCCAGGGCTGTCCACCGCTGCTGTGTGTAGGCCCTGCTGCATCCTGCCCTCACAGAGCTTCTATGCTGCCTGAGGAAATAGGTTAAACAAGAAAGCAAGGAGTTAAAAAAATATTGGACAGTTGGGCACAAGGGGTCTCCAAGGAAGCCACAGCAGGAGCTCCAGGGAGAGCTCCCAGGCACAGGAAACAGCAGATGCAAAGGCCCAGAGGTAGATGGGGCTGGCACCTAAAGGCTGGTTTAATGAACCTGGCAGGGACAGGATGGCAGGAGAAACAAGGCAGGAAGTATGGTGGGGCTGCTGCTGTCCAATCCCCTTCATCCCAGAAACTCAAATATCATTCAATGCATTTGCTCCCCATGGAGCTGGGCACTCAGGAGGTGGAGTCCACAGCAAGTAGCAGCAGGGCCTGGTGCATGAACACAGGTAGGAATACATGAATCCCAGCTGGTCCCTAACTTACTGTGTGACCTCAGACAAGTGTATGCCCCTCCCTAGGCCTCAGTTTCATTCTAAGATGCTCCCTGAGTCATGATTCTCTGAGGTGGTTGCAGGGGCTGCTTGGCCAGGACCTCTGCAGCATCCCCTGAGGCACCAGGCCCCTTACCTCTGCTTTCCTCCTCTTTCTCCCGAGCAAATCTTTGGTTCTAGTGCCAATGTTCTGCAAGTGCTGCCCCTAGACTGGCATCAGAAGCCCCGGACTGCAGACCAGGTGGGCAGCAGTCAGGTAGGCATGGCAGAGCCCCTGCCCAGGCCTTGATTCCAGTGACGATCAGGCACCTGCAGCAGGGACCCCTTCCCGGCCCGCCCAGGGGTCCCTTCCTCCCAGCCTGGGGTGGTCTCCTCAGCCTGCGAGGGTCAGGGCTGGCCTTGGGGAGGAGGAAGGGGAAGGACAGGGAAGAGAGGCCGAGCGTCAGTTCATCTGGTGTCCGGCTGACGTCAGCACCCCACAGATGGGTGGTGGCATGTACCTGGGCTGTGGGGACAGAGGGCAGGGATAGGCAGGGTGGGTGAAGGCCGGGCAGCCCAGATGCACAGGTGTGGAGACTGGAGGCAGCCTTCGTGCTGTGTGCAGTCGAGGAACATCCGGGGACAGACCCAGGGAGGACCAACCCGCAAGAGGAGTGGTGGTTATGCAGGCAGAGGCCTCCTTGTCCCATCGGAGCCTTGACTTCCCATTCTGGAAAAGAGGGCATGGCATCCTGTGGCCACCAGTGTGAGGGCAAAATGAACTCAGACCTGGGCCAACTAGAATCTGGCAGGTTCTTGCGGTGGGTGACTACGTAGGGCAAGTTGTACCCCCTGCCTGAGGTGACACCTTGTTCCTGCAGTTGAGGTCAGGGTCTGGCTCTTAAAAAGAGCCCTGGAAATGCCGGAGCAGGTGTGGCTCAGAGGAGAGAGCAGAGCAGCCCAGTTCCCACCAGTGGGTGGCGCCCTCCCACCTCCTCAACCCCTGCCAGACCCTAGCCTGAGGAGAGGGGCATGAGGGAGCCTGAATGTGAGATTCCTTGAGCAGTAACTGCCAGCACCCGGCCCCAGTCCCAGGCAGGAATTATCTGGTGTAGGAGTGTGCCGGCGGCTTCAACTCACTGAGCCTCAGTCCTCAGTGAGAAATAGGGTCGGGGCATCCAGCACAGCTCGGTAAACAAAGGGCAGAGGCCAAGGTGCACTCAGGGGCCTCCACACAGCCCACCTGTGACCCTCCCCTCATCTGTGGCCCGTCTCTGCTAATCTTTGCCTCACCCTACACCCATGTGCCCGCCCACCCTAACCGTGTGGTCCCACCACACCTGTGATTCTGCAACCGCACCCGTGACAATCACTCATTTTGGGCTCCTACACCCCACCCTCCCTCAGCCCCCACGTAGCTGTCCCCACATGGTGCTATGTGGATATTGGAGGGTGGGGACCTGGGCACCAGAACCCCAGCATCAGTCGCTAAGTCTCCCAGAGGCCCTCAGGACTTGGTGCACTCTTCATGTCCACCCCCAAGACTTTTGTCATGTCCTATGTCATGGTTTATATCTAGATGTGCCTCCAAAGCCTCCTGTGCTCATAGGTGGGGCTTTTGGGAGGTGACAGGGTCATGGGTATGGGGCAGTCATCCCTGGATCAGTCTGCTGATGGGTTTATAGCTGGGTGATGTTGGAAGGTGAAGCCTGGTGGGAAGAGGTGGATCACTGTGGCCATGGAATGGAAGGTGTATTTCTCCTCCCTTGATCTCTCTCCCTCTGCTTCCTGCCTGCCATGCAGTAAGCATGCCTCCTCTGCCATGCTGCCCTGCCTTGGAGCCAGCCGAGTACGGGCTGAAACCTCTACAAACTCTGAGCCAAAATAAACCTTTCTTCCTTTAACTGTGAGTGTTGGGTATTTATCCCAGCAATGAGAAAGTAACTAAGCATGTCTTGTACACAAGACCCTTGCCCTGCTGTACAGCACAGCTGCCAGCCACACCTCACAGGACCAGGAATATGGAGCTGCTCCAGGCCAGGTATGGAGTCCATGTGATTCACTTGTCCTCTACTCCTCCCCCGGATGCTCGCCTGGTAGGTGACCCCACTGAGAGGACAGACGGTGAGGCTGTGCTCACTCGCTGACAGCTGGCATTTATTTAGGTGGAGAAGCGCTGCATCTGCCTGCAAAGGGGCAGCCACAATCTCCCATAGCTGCCACTGGGGCCAGGCAGCGTGTGTCCAGGGAGGGCCGGGAGGTCACCATTTGCCCCTCCACAGGTGGCTCCAGGCTCAGCAGAGGGCAGAGAAGCTCAAGAGAAGCAGATCACAGTGCAGCTCACAGAGCGCAGACAGGAGGGGAGAGGCCAGGATGGCTGCCGGCAGCCCTACCAGCCCCAGCGGTGACTGCAGACCGGGGGGACACTGCCAACCCTGGGCAGCACCCACATGGCCCTCTGCCTTTTGGAGTTGGCACCACTGCTCAGCTCACTCAAGTAACATGTATTTTGATAGTGGCCCATATTTCCTGCTCTAGCCACACTGCTGGGGCTGAAACTGGAGGCCAAGATCTTGTCCTGGACTTGTTGGGTCCTCCTGGAAAGGTGGCTGTTCCTCTTTGGGCCTCAGCTTCCTCCAGAAGGGCCATTGGGGCTAAATGCCCCAGCTCCAGGCCATCAGCCTATCCTCAGCATCCTGGGAGTCTCATTCCTTCACATGGCTCTGATGTCACCTTCCTGGAGAGCACAGGCCCTATGTGGCAGTGTAAAGAGCAGTAGGAGGCATTGTTCATGGAGAGGATGTGCCTGCCAGGGCCTGGGGTTGCAGGCTGCCTGGACTGTCCTGAGCTGTATCCCTGTAGGCCACAGCTCTCAGAGCCTCCAGCCAGCGCTGCTTCAGTTCTGCAGAGGGGGTGCTCAGGTACCAGGACTGCTGGCCCTGCTGCAGCTTCCATGTGTGCTCAGCACCCTGCACCTCCTTGGGGTCTGGAACACACACCATGCAGCTGGGCAGAGGGATGGTGTTCAGCAGCTGGCCATCCTGCAGCACAAGAGAGAGGCTCAATGAGTGCCCCCAGCAGCTGTGCCCAGCTGCCCTTGGTGCAAAGAAGTCACTGAACCAGGTAGGCCTGGTGGACATGGCTGCCCTGCCCTGTCAACAGGACAGGCTGCTCAGGGGCTCTCCCTAAGCGATGACACCTCACTGGACACTCAGACTCCCTGGGATTGCTGCACAGGGGCAGAGAAGCAGTATAGCACCTGGGACACAGGCAGGTAGCATCTGGGGCCAAAAGGGGCCAGACAAGGGTCCCTGATTGGGGCAGGGAGACATGGGTCAGGTTCTGCAGCTTCCCACCCCATCCCCCAGGATGCGTGAATGAATGAAAGGGTGAATGAACGAATGCATGTGGGAAAGAGGGGTCAGCACTCTGTGCCCCCTACCTGCCCCACCTCTAACCCTGGCTGGATCTGGGGTCTTGGCATCATGGGCTCCTGTCTTCCTGTGAGTGAGGAGGAGAGGACTATTCTGGGCATAAAGGGAAACTTGGGCTCCAGGTCACACTGCTGGAGTGGGTTGGCACCAGCAGGGTGGCCCAGACCTGCTGCAGACAGCATAGGCCTAAGGGTCTGGGGGCAGGAGGGTGGTATGAGGTACATACCTGGCCACTTCCCTGCAGCTGCAGCACCTGAGAGTCCGAGGTGGGGATGGCAGCCCACACCTCCATCCAGGCCACACCATCCTCTGATAGCCTCAGAGGGCTGCAGAGCACACTTGGCTGGGGATCTGCAGCAGGCAGCTTCCAAGGACACAGAGACACAGATTAGGGGTGATCTCACCTGCAGTGGTCACTCCCTTCCCAAGGAGGCAGGGCCAGGGCCACTACTCAGGAGGAGCTGGCCCCTGAGACGCAGTGAGTACTGGACAGAGGCTGAAGCCAGCCTCACTTGCTCCAGTGACCACTTGAGGCCAGACTGAGGGGTACAGGTGCCATGTGACCTCAGGGAGGGTTTGCAGGCTGGACCCTCTGAGGGGAGGGAGACCACTGGCCAGGTCAGGCATTGCCAATACAGCAATGGAAATCCAGCAACAAGTCCTCAGGTGGGAGTCCCAGAGTGAAGAGACTATGCATGCTTCAAATCTACATGAACCCTACAGTCCACATATCACACACACACACACACACACACACACACACCATACTACACCACACATAAATGC